AATATATATTTATTGAATAAATAAAGGGGGGGGGGGGGAGAAGTAGCTGTATATACACTATTATAAAATGATACCTAAAATAAGTTACGTAAAAAAGTAAGATACAGATCAGTACTGTTTTTATTTGCATTCAATGCTTCTGGAAGATTACCTATAAAGGTAGGCAACTGAGGACTAAGGAAGGAACTTTTAGACCCTTTGTACATGTACATGTACAATCTATTCAGAGAAATTAATTAAGGACTTGCCTTTCCAAATAAGCAATACATAAGATAATCCTTCCGAAAGGCCTACAATTCATACTTAAGAACTCAATTAGCATTTACATTTGAATTAGGGTGCATTAGAAAAAAATGAAATAAAATGTTATGTTTTAACATTATTTCATAATATGCAACATATGTTTATACACATTCTCTTATTGCAGTGTCACAGATATCTAGTCAGGCAAGGTGAGCATATACTCATTTCTTCCATTTATAGAAAAAAATGCTCAGAAAGATTAAGAAACCTGATTATAGTTAACACAGCACAGGCAAAGCTCAAGCTAGATCTCTGGATTCTAAGTTTTTTATTTTCTGTTTATTTTCTCAGTGTAGTTCTCTTATATATTTAAAGACAGAAATTTACCTGATGATGAAAACAGAAAAAGCTTCAATGATGCTGTCATTATGATGTCTCAATTGACAGGCTATTTTAGTGTTTAATTAACTATAAAGTAGAAAATATATTGGACACTATTGCAAATTGGATTACTACTGAACTACAATGACAGACAATATTTAGTCCACAACCATATATTTTGTGGGTTGAAAATGGAACAAAATAGGATTTTACTGATAATGCCATTCAACTAAGCAGAACTAACTCAATAAGCTATGCAGAGAACATAAATATATGTTGTGTATTAGTCTAGAAAAAGGGCTTTAAGTATGCAATTTCAGAAATATCATAGTAAAGGCAATTATCTTATATAATAACAAAACATATTTAAAAAGTAGGAATTCATTATATAATGCTATCAATTCTCTATATATTTGACATATAAAGAAAAATCCTTAAAATTATGATGTAAATGGTTCAAATCAAAGCATATGCTATTATAAAGTAAAATAACTAGATTACTCTGCAATGAAAAGGAAATCCAATTCCTCAATACAACAAATACTGATTGAAAAATTATATTCTTACAACTAGAAAGCTAAAATCAAACATGAAGGAAAGTGTTATTTTTCAACAATCAAATAAATAAAATAAATAGGAACATCAGCCAATGTTGACTCAGGGATCAGAAAATTCTAGTATTTCCACCATTAAACAAAGGCAGCTAACAAGGGCACCAGTAAACAAGAGTTCACTGTCTTAATTTGCCCCAGAAAGCAGATTTTTCTGCCCTCCAGAGCTGCAACTAAAGAATGAGAGAAAATAATCCTTGGGTTTTAGAGCATTTAGCCAACTCAGATGCCTTCAGAATTATTAGCACATTTAATCTATCAATAACCCAATTAGATAAGAAAGGGTCTACCTTCTAATTCAGCATTTCCCAAAGGATGATCCACTGCATGGTGGTCTTTTCAGGACTCTTTTTGAAAAGGGGTTAAGCCAATATTTCCAAAGACACTTTCATTCCATGCTATATTTTCCTCTCTTGGGCATTTGATACTAAAAGCTCAGAAAACTTCTCAGTCAATACTACTGTTTTGCCTTAACTCAGCATGTCCCAAATTCTAAAACTAATTTCCCCTTAAAACATTCAAGGACATTAATTTTGTTTTTTCTGCTACCTCACTGGTCTCTCTCCAGTTTCTTACTAATTCCTTCTCTCCAAGATCCCTACCTTGGAGTGCCTCAGCCTTTGTTTCTCTTTTCTCCTTTATCTGTCCCCACTCACTTGATGACCTCATATAGTGAAATGATTATAAACAAACTGGAATCTTGTTCTTCCTTATCAAACCTGCTCAATGTGTAGTCTATTCATACACTTGAAACAAATTCTATTCTTCTAATATTCCTGCTAAAAATTTTAAAGACATCCTTGACTCTTTTCTCTCATACTCCACAATTAATCCATGGGCTCAATCTTCAAAATATATCTAGGAACTAAAAAGTCCTTGGCATTTCCGTGCTCTCATCCTTGCTCAAACAGTCATTTTCTATACCCGGGGTTAGCATTTTTCCATCTCGGCTCCCCTTAAGTATATTCTCAACACAGTTTTAATGATCCATTTTATTAAAAGTCAGAGCATGTCATTCCTTTGTTATAATGCCCTCTCATACCAATGCCTCCTCATTTCATACAGAGAAAAGCCATAATCCTTAATCATGGTCTGCAAGGTCCTTAGATCTGTTCTCCATTATTTCTCTAATCTCACTCTCTATATACTCACCTTCCGCTCCACTCAGACCTCCTAAACTGTACTCTGAACAGTCCAAACATGTTCCTGTCTTATTGCCTTTGTAAAAAAAAAAAAAAATGTACCCTCTGACTGCAATGTTCTTTCCCCAGAAATTAAGTAACATCCTAGCTGTTCACGTCTGTTCAAATGCCACATTCCCAGTGATGCTTATCCTACCTTGCATTTAAAATTATGTCCCAACATTTGACCCTCTAAACCCCCAACCCTCTACCCTGCTCCATTTCCACTCCTTGGCATTTATTATCTTTCATTATAAATACACAGTTTATTTTATTTACTAAGCCACTCGGTACAGAATGTAATCTCTAAGAGAGATTTTTTTTATAAGTTTTATTCACTGATGTATACATAGCATCTAGAAATGAGCTTCACATATTACAGGTGCTCAAAAAAAAACATTAAGTGAATAAATAAATGAAACATACTTATTCACAGACAACAGAGAATTACTGTGTGATACTTAATATTTATCATTTTTTCCTTTGTATTCTGGGCAAAATTAGACATGGTGAAAAAAGACAGCATTAGAAAGCATCTCTTCCTGACAGAGATGATTTTATTATCTGCTGCCATAATTTTTTAAAGATTCTTGAAAATTAATAGATGGGCTTTAATTTTCATTGAATTATATTGCCAAAATAAATATCACTACATCACCCAGCCAGCATGGCTCAGTGGTTGAGCATCGACCTATGAGCCAGTTGAGCATCGACCTATGAACTATGGTTTGATTCCTGGTCAGGGCACATATCCAGGTTGTGGGCTCAATCCCCAGTTGGGAGCTTGCAGGAGGCAAACAATGATTCTCTCTCATCATTGATGTTTCTCTCTCTCTCTTTTCTTCTCCTTTCCTCTCTGAAATATATATATATATATATTAAAAATCACTACATTTACGCTATTAACCTGACTATATAATTCTAACCCTGATTACACACCTGGGAATAGCTATAAAAATGTACAACCCGGGTGCTGTCGCTTTCCAGTGGTACCGTTCTGAAGGCATTCTTCACCACCTGGGCGAGGGGCTGATGGCCGTAAGAGGGTGGTTTGCAGCCCAGCCAAGTTAACGACTTTACCCAGAAGGACATCCAGAAGGTCTCAGGAAGGTCCCCCGATCTAATTAGCATATTACTCTTTTATTATCGATAGTATAGACTAGAGGCCCGATGCACAAAATTTGTGCACAGGGGTGTGTCCCTCAGCCCAGCCTGTACTCTCTCCAATATGGGACATCCCTCTCACAGTCCAGGACTGCTGGCTCCCAACTGCTTGCCTGCTTGCCTTCATGATTGCCCCTAACCACTTCTTCCTGCCAGCCTGATTGATGCCTAACTGCTCCCCTGCCAGACTGTTTGCCCCTAATTACCCTCCCTTGTAGCCTGGTCAACCCTAACTGCCCTCCCCTGCAGGCCTGGTGTTCCCCGCCCCTCCCCCCACTGCTCTCTCCTGCAGGCCTGGGTCCCCTCCAATTGCCCTTCTCTGCAGGCCCAGTCGCCTCCAACTTCCCTCCTCTGCGGTCCTGGTCACTCCTAACTGTCCTTCCCTGCAGACTTGATCGCCCCCAACTGCCCTCCCTTGCAGGCCTGGTCCCTCCCAACTGCCCTCCCCTGCTGGCCATCCTGTGGTGACCATCTTGTGTCCACATGGGCACAGCCATCTTGTGTGTTAGAGTGACAGTCAATTTGCATGTTATTCTTTTATTAGATAGGATAGTATCATTACCTATGATGGTTCTTTATATGGACTGCACCAACTATCCACAGACAAAGCCAAGAACATAGCTCAGGCTTTTTCACCCTTGCCACTATTGACATTTTGAGTTAATTTTTGTTGGGTGTGTGAAGTGAGGGGCTGTCCTGTGCACTGTAGAATGTTTAGTAGCATCACCAGACTCTACACACTAGATAACAATAGCAATTACTAACTGTGAAACTCAAATTCAATTTAAAAATAAATAAATTTAAAAATTGACAAATGTCTCCTGGGGCAGGGGTGGGGATAGAGTGGGGTAAGAACCACCAACATAAGATGAAAGAAGAAAGGAATGAAGAAATAAAGGGAGACAGGGAAAATATTTTGTACTAGGTATTCTTAAACAGTTAATAAAACTAAAATAATTTCTAGTTGGTGGATTTAAATGTGTTTATTGTAGTTTAAGGATATTTGTAAGAAAATAAAAATCTTATTGTGAAAACAATAAACACATCTCAGATAAATAATATTCTACTGTTATTAAGAAAAAAATTAATAAATAGCTTTCTCCTTATTTCTTACTTCTATCTTAAGAATAACACCCTACCTTCCTGCTGTCTCCCAGGAATAAAAACAACTGCAGTCTTTGTTTTCAGTTCTGAAGGCAAGAGAAGAGCTTTTTCCTCTGACTCTACAGGTGGTTCCTGATAGTGCTCACCAGGTGACCTGAAGGTGACTGACAAGTCTACTTTGCATTTATAAACAAGTTTAATAGGACCTGCATATTAACAAGAGCAACAATTTGTTATAGAATGAGAATTGACGTTTGTATTCACTTATTACCTACATACCACTTCTGGTTTCTTGTTTGATTACTTTTTGTCTTACCATAGATGTAACTGATCGTGCATCTTCTTCATAATTTATTACCGGAGGTGGCTCTTTTCCCTCATTTTCTTGCACTTTTTGCTCTAGTAATTCCTTTTGTGCTGTAAACTTTGCCTCAGTGCACCTCAGTTGCTGCACAGACTGTTTCAGCTCTTCAAGTGTCTGTTTTTGGCTTATCAGCAGCACAATACTAAAAAAGAACACATTAAGTATTGACTTCTTTGAGAAATGCAGACTTTAAAGAAACCTTATATATATAAAGAAATCTTATATATGCTTTTGTTTTCATCTTTATGAATCCTACAGAATCAGAAGAATTAGGAAACTAAATAGATTTTGAGCCATCACAGGAGAAGCATTAACAAAATGGAAGAAAATATTTGGAAGCTCAAATCAAATTCAAGATACTTTCAAGTATATTACGATGTATAGCATTCATTTTATTTTACAGCTAAACCATCTACCTCACAAAGTACAGACACTTAAGTCCAGAAGCGTAGGGCCTAAAATGAATTAACATAACTGAAGAAGAATCTTAAATGTACTTCATATCTCACATGGAATATAGCTAGGATCAAATCTGTGCCTAGCATAAAATAAATCAAATCAAGATGACAGCCTGGGACCATGTTGTTTGTATACTGGGAGAAGTGTGTGTTCAGAGTTGGGGAAAGCAGTTCTAACCAACACTGAGGGCTGAGCTGTAAATAAGGGAATGAGCATAAGTCCCCAAATCTTTCCAATGCCATCACTATAAAAACAAAAGACTTTCCAATCCCTCCTTTTGAGAACTACATAGCCACATGGTGCCTTATTGTGACTTTTTACCCCTTGGATGTTGCCCCTAATGGAAATTTCAAACTCACTCACCATTTAAGCAACACACACAGAAGAAAACCCAGGTAGTGGGGAACACCTTTGGAAACGGTCATACATAGTATAATAATATCTTAAAGAACTATGCCATGCACTACTAAAAGTAAGTTATTTATATGTAAGAGACAATAGAATGTCAATAGAGGAAGCTTCAAAGTTGGAGAATAAGGTCAGAAAGTTAACTTCTTCAAATAGAATTTAAAAGAATCAACATAAACTGGGTAAGTAATAGAAGGTAGTAGGAACTCACGGTAAGAGAGTTTTATTTATAAATATGATGCTGATTGATATTCTGAAACTCAATTCCAATCAAACTGAGTAGGAAGCAACCTCAGTGATGCTTGCTCTAAAGAAAGCTGAAATCTCCTCAATTATATTGCAATGAATTTCAGAAGATTAGCCCAACAAAAAGGTAGAGAATTGATTCATGTAAAAAGGTTACATTCAGTGAAAATTTTGTATATAACATTCTTGAAAAGACAAAACTGTAGAAATGGAGCTAAGATGAAAGGATGCTAGGAACTTAGAAGGAGGTGGAAAACAGTGTATCTAGAAAAGTATAATATGAGGGAATCCTTGCAGTGATGAAAACATTTCAAGTCATGACGGTATCAAAGTCAATATCTACAATTATTTTTTTAATATATTTTATTGGTTTTTTACAGAGAGGAAGAGAGAGGGATAGAGAGTTAGAAACATTGATGAGAGAGAAATATCGATCAGCTGCCTCTTGCACACCCCCTATTGGGGATGTGCCCGCAACCAGGGAACATGCCCTTGACCGGAATTGAACCTGGGACCTTTCAGTCCACAGGCTGACACTCTATCCACTGAGCCAAACTGGTTTCGGCTCAATATCTACAATTATAATATTAAATTATACTTTTCCAAAATGCTTCCATAGGGGCAAAGTGAACATAAAGTACATGGGACCTCTATTAAGTCATATACATAGACAGCAATCTATAATTATCCCAAATTAAATATTTAAATGAAAATATATATCACTGTTGCTGTCATCATGCTTCCTCTGGTAAGTTGAGGCTTTTTGTCTCATATGCCCTGGGTTCCTAAATAATCTGTTTTAAGGACAGGCCTTTTTTATTCTCCTTCAGAATTTCTAAGTATCTACTACATTATACCAATTATAATCAGAAATTCTGAGATACTATCCTACTATCAAGAATTAGGTTAAAATATAAATTTCTTGGTTTTTATTTTAGTGGTTTTTAAAAACAATGAGGTTTGCAGGGGCATCATATGCCCTATTATATGGCTATGGTCAATTTTCATGTCTTATAATGAAGTCAATGCACAATACTAGCTCCTTCCAATTAATCCTATTAAGCTCTATGTACAATGACAATTTCACATACTTTAACATCTTGCTTTTGTTCAATAGTTTTCTTTAAAGTATTGCTGTAATCACTGTACAATACACTGTACAATTATTTTATATGCTTATAACACCATTGAGCAAACAATTATGTGTAAATTTTAATAAGAAGAAACTTATAGTAAGTTCATGATTAAATAATGCATAAGAAACCATAAAGTAAATTTAAAAAACAGAAGGAATCAGAACCTATTCATGTGCTACTTATCGGTATCTCAAACTCCTCTTCATGTAGATGGCACCTTCTGTCTTTCAGTCTCAGCTAAGATGCCATTTCCCAGGAGACCCCTGGACACCTACCTTAAGTAGGTGCTCCTCTATTCTATCAGAACTACCTGTTTCACAGCAATTATCACAACTGTTAATTTCTTGTGTTGTATTGGTGCATTCCACAAAAGTATAAGCTTCATGAGACATGTAGCCATATATGTCTTACCTTTCATTGTATTCACGGCACTTAGCAGACATGCAATAAATATTGTTGAATTAATTTCCTATTTACATAGCACATTTTTTGGTAATACAAGTCATTTTAAAGTGCTGAGTCCAAGTTAAAAGTACCCTGAATTTGCAGACTAGAACAATATTTTAGATGGTTCAATTCTTACCTTCTCTACAGGCTAGATGTGGCATTTTGCAAGTCTCTTAAAACTTCTGGGCTACAGATATCATATAATTTGAAAGACAATTATGAATCAAAAGCTCTCTTAAGATCCTGCATGGCTCCAGGAGTTATGATTTTATGATGTAGAAAGTATTTTTAAGTACTAGGTGATATTGGTACAGAATTAATCATTCTCTTTTTGAAACTAAAATCAAGCACTAAAACCAATAGTAATGTTCTAGCTCTTTATGTCATTGAGTCATAAAAGATATATGCTTGGTATATTGTCCCATAAACTATTTTCTAGTACAGTAGTCAAGGATCATAAATCAAGTGAAGATTTATATTATTTCCAGTTGAGTAAACATACTCTTAAAGTAATAAGTAAAGATATGTACACTATAGTGATGCTTTATGTTATATTAAAATCATACCATTTCTAGCGGTTAGCTTTACTCTCTTTACCTTATTTTTTTAGATAAAATTCTGCAACATTTCAATTGAGAGCTACTTGATTTATAAGAGCTAAAATTCTGCACTTGTGTGAATTTCATGTTATATAAAAATCATTCTCTAAGTTTACTTTTCACTTTATATTACTCAATTATAGGAATCAAAACTATCAAATGATTTCTTATATAATCTATTTTGTCACTATTATTATAAGATGTTTTAAAGATAATTACTTAAATCCAAATTTGTAGGTTTTAACTTTAGTCCTTTATTATATTATATTAATATGATAGATCCAATAATGGTATTTCTATTAAGCACAAAATTCAGTATGATTCCATTAATTTAAGAAGGTAAATAGTATTTGCGAGAGAAGGTAGTTTTATTGTTTTTGTTATTTTCAAGTAGCATTGTAATGAAGCTACTGTGTGACAGAGTAGAAATAATTCTAAATCTACTTTTAAAACTGAATAAAAATTGATTTTAATTATTTAAGTGTACTTAAATATATGTAGATATATACACATATACACACACAAAAAGGAAACAAAATTGAGAAATCAAACATTTCCCCAGAATCCCTGAAGACTATTTATTTAGCAAAATATTTTAACATGTTATTCAAAGACAAACTTCAACCCTACTAAAATCTAAATTAATGAGATTCTACAATGACTATTTCATTATGTAAATATTCTTAACATTTTTAAGATTTTTTTTAATTGAAACTAGCAATAAAACCCCTGTGGTAAAGAAGGGCTAAGAGAACTTGGGTTAAGTAAGACTCATCCTCTGAATTGCCTGACATAATTATCCCTTCTAATTTATTCTCCTAAGAGCACTATTATCAATAAAATCATAAGATCAAGCAAATGCTGTGATAAAAAAGATAGAAACTTTGGAGTTAGGGACTCATGTGTTTTCTACTACTTACTAGGCATGTGGTTCTAAATTATCTAAATTCTCCTCAAGTTAAAATACGAGCAATTATACAGAAAGCAAATAAACATTCATTGGCTTACTATATATAATATAAAGCATCCAATAGAATGTGTAGAACAGAGTAAGAACTCAAGAAATGCTATTTCCCATATATCCACTACCCTTTACATTTAAGCCCCTTCTTCTCTACTCCCATTCTCATCTCCTGATAAATATAAATAGGTGAAGGAACATGATCACACTGATTATGTAGATAAAGAGAGTCAAAATCAAAAATCTGAGTCAAGAAAGCATACCAAAAAAAATTCAAAGAAACCCACAACTTCTAGATTAAGATAAAACTTGAAGATTGCCTCTTCCAACAATATATGGCCATACATGGCTAGTGAGAGGGTCAGCTAGTAAGAGGGTCAGTGAGAGGTTTGTCTTAATAACCATTAAATTTTAAAACAGGAGTCATTTACAATGTGTTCATTTATAAGCTGTAAAAAGTAGAGCTACTTTGTCTTCTGTACAAATGGGAAGAAATTTATTTGTAAATAGAAAAAAGCAAAAGATAATTCTATTTTGAATGTAATATTAGCAATGGTTGATAGATTTTATTTTTATAATCCAAATAGAAGATTTAGTTATACAAAACTTCAATTTTTCAGATTAAAGGAATGCCCAGAGTAACTTTAATTTCTATTCTCACCTCTGAAAGGCTCAGTGAATCCAATATGATATAATAATAGTAATAATAGCCATCCTATAAATGAGAGGTGCAGGCTCCTACAATGCTGAGCTGTATAATAGGATGGATGGTGCTTCCATTCACAAAATAAGCAATACTAAGAGTGAACTAGGTTGGAATGAATTGGGTTGGATTGAAATTTTTAATTCAGTCTTGGACACAGAAAATTTAGGGTATTTTTAAGACACCCAAGGAGGCCTGTCAAGTAGGCAAATGACTGCATGGGCAGGCAGTTCAGAGGAGAAATCTGGAAGTAATAAATGTGCATCATCTTTAGGTGATCACCCAGAGATAGAGCTCAGGAGGTGAGTGGCAGGCATAACCTAGGGCCATGCCTTTAGTAGCTCCAAAATGGACTGGCTGAGTGGAGGAAAATAGGTTTATAAAGAAAGAGTGGCCAGAAAGAGAGGAGTAAGATCTGGCATATTGGGTCCCAAAGGCCAATTGAAAAGAAGAAACATAGCCCTAGCCGGTTTGGCTCAGTGGATAGAGCATCAGCCAGTGGACTTAAGGGTTCCGGATTTGATTCTGGTCAAAGGCATTTGCCCAGGTTGCAGCCGATCAATGATTCTCTCTCATCATTGATGTTTCTATGTCTCTCTATATATATATATCTCTTCTTCTCCCTTCCACTCTAAAATAAAAATATATATTTTTTAAAAAGAAAAGAAGAAACATAAAGTCAATAAAGTAAGATACCATGAGATCAAATAAAACAGTTGCTAAATTTAGAATGTAGAGATCATTAGTGATCTTACACATACCTATTTCAGTAGTGATGGGAAGAAGCCAGATATCTGAAGGTTGAAAACTAAGTGGGAGTTGAGAAAATGCTTATGCATAATCACTCTTAGAACAAGTTTGACTAAAAAAAATGGAAAGCAAAGACAGAGGAACTATGAAAATTTAAAAAGAATTATCTGGAGTAGGCAGAGAGATAAAGATTATTTTTAGGATCAAGACCTAAGCAAAGCCCTAACCAGTGTGGCTCAGTTGGCTGAGCATCATCCCATGTACCCAAAGGTCACCAGTTCAATTCTCAGTCAGGGCCCAGCCTGGATTGAGCCCCAATAATATAGGAGAGATATTCTTTGACTTCAGTGGGAGAGATAAGGAGATCAGGCATTTGAGAAAAGTAAATATTTGAAAGTTGTGAAAATAAGAGCAAGCATAGACCAAAGAGAGAAATCCTACACATCACAATTTCCTTGAGTATGTGAGAGTATATCAGAAAGAACTCTACTTGGGCCAGTCACATGAAGGAAACTAATCCCTGTTGGAGATGCAAATCATTGCCAAAGTCAAATTAGCATTTAAAATCTTTTCAAAAATCTACTTAAAACAGAAGAAAACACAATTTACACAAAAATTAAAAGCAGACTTTATCAAGACAAGTAAAATCAGAGGATTCAGAAAAACATTCACAGATCCAGAAATCAGCAAGAAAAACAATGGTGAAGCAGACTGCTATTTTTTTTTTTATAGCAGATTTTTATAGGTGAAGCAGACTGCTATTTTTAATATGTTTCTTCCTCCTAACATAGTAGAAGCCAATTTCTACATATAACTGGCCTGCCATTTTCTTAACAAGGAATTCACAATGAATCCTGTGGTCAGTGATGAGGGAAAGTAAAGATAACTTTTAACAGGATTTTTCAGAAAAGTGTTTAATATACAATATTAAGATATATAATCTGTACACTATATTAACAAACACATGCTATTTTTCTAGAGTCCTATATATCTAAGTTTTATACTTAAAATGAAATTTCAGCTTCTAGAAATTTTAAATACATAAAAGGAGTATTTAGTAAAATTTTATCAATTACACTTTCTTCCTTCAAGTTATATTTGTTTTACTTACTCAGACTTCTTTTCATAGGTCTTAGAAGATTCCTCAATTCTTTTCTCCAGCTCAAGGACAGCCTCCTCTTTGTTTAATAGCATTTGCTGTGTCTGCATAAGTTCCTCTGCTAAAGTTTTCAACCTAGAATGGACAATTTCCTCATATCAATCCATACTTTAATTACATTCACTTTATACACACACACACACACACACACACACACACACACACACACACACACACTGAGACATTTAAGGTTGTGATGTCCAAAACAGTAGCCAAATGTTATTTAATTTAAATTAAAGTAAAATTTCAGTCCCTTGGTTGCAGTTGCCTCATTTTAAGGGCTGAAAGAACACATGTGGGTAGTGGCTACCTTATTGGATGGTACAGAGCAGACTATTTTGTTTTTTTGTTAATCCTCACCCAAGGATGTTTTGCATTGATTTTTATAGAGTGGAAGCAGGGAGGGGGGGGAGAGAGAGAGAGAGAGAGAGAGAGAGAGAGAGAGAGAGAGAGAGAGAGAGAGAGAGAGAGAGGCGTCATTGTGAGAGAGACATATCGGTTGGTTGCCTCCCAGCTGGGGAGGGAATCCAACGTGCAATCCAGGTACATGCCTGCGGTCTAGAGTCCATTTTATTAATTCCACCTCATAAAACTTATCCAAAATAATATGCTTCAATGAGTAAAAAAGATGTAATCACAGGGATGTTTATTGTGGCACTACTTGTAATTGCAATAAACAAAGGTGAACTTACTATAACACTAATGACACATAACCTTCAGGCACCTCACTAGCTAGATACCTTCCTAGGGTCTGTACTTAATTTACACTTAGTTTAGTTTTGTTCTAGTCCCCCCCAAAAAAAAATTTTTTTGTAAACTTCAGTCTCCATAAAACCTGTTTCCACCCCTTGCAATATTAACAAACTGAGAAATAATTTAATGTCCATCAATAAAAAACTAAATTCAATAATCATGTTACATGAAAGCAGTAGAACACTATACTCTATTGAGAGTTCATAAATGTTAAGAGAACAAGGTAAAAGTCTGCACAGAATAACCCCACTTGAGTAAACAATTTATATATATGTAGTACTTATATATACATACTGAAAAATTTTTTAAATGAATTAACACTGGAAACTACAAATGGGGTCTATAAAAAAAGAGGGAGAGCTTGATTTTCATTGTATACCCTTCTGTAAGATATTTCAGATTTTTATTATCTGTATGTATTAATTAGTTTTGAAGGATTTGACTGTAAAGATTAAAAAAACCTAAAATAATTACTATGGATAACAACAAGTTTTCAGCACTTATACAACACTTTTGAATTCCCAAACCACTGGATATCATCATCTATATCTTACAGAACTCTTACAGAGACCCAACCTCTTGAAAAATTATAAATTATAAGTTTCCAATACTGTCATATTGTGATATTTGGTTAATAAAAAAAGAAATGGAATAAGGTGGCAGTTGCCTGAAGTAATTTCCTGACATCTTTATTACTGCAACATAAATGGAATAAACCTTTTTTATTAATCTCATAGCAATTTATGTATAACCTTCTATACCAATGCACAAATATGTATTAGTTTATCTCAAAATTAAACAGAAGGTGACTTCTAATCAACCATGCAAAAGTTTTTGTTAAAGATAGCCACCAGCAATCTGACAAATCCACCTATATTCTATGTAACCTCTTTGTTCCCCTCAATCAATCTCTCCTAATATATCATCTGCTTCTAATATTTTTCATATTTCCAAATCTTTCCAACTCACTCTTTCAAAAAGTATTCCCTAAAATAGTCTCACATAATTGCATATAATTTACCCAAAAAACAAGCTTGAGCTAAGACTGTGAAAACAGGCAAAAACAGACTTGATAAAACCAAGGCCCATCTTAAGACATGATGAGAGTATTGCAGTATTTGTCATGTCAACAATTGAGAAGGTTGATTCAGACAGTTTAATAGGTAAAATCGGTGCCATTCCCACAACAGTCAGCAAACAGTTTCTATAAAGTTCTGAAGAGTAAAGTATTTTAGGCTTTTCCCCCAAGAGACAAAAATCAAGGCATATTATATAGATATTAATATAAGAAAAAGGAGAAAAAGTAGCTACAAATATTTTATTGACAAATTCAAAATATAATAATAATGATAATTGAGCATAATTTATCATAATAACAGTCTACTCTGAGGCTAGAAATATTTTGAGGGTGATAATGTTTACCTTCATTGAAATTCAAAGCTAGTGCTTATCATCAAAATCAGCTACAAACATTCACTTGTTAAAGCAGATATATAATGAGATTTTATGTATTTGATCTTTGAAAATATCTTTTCAAAGAGGTAAGTGTTGCAAAGTACCATTATCAATCCATGAGCATATGATTTCAATTGAGTATATTTATTGCTTAGCTGGCATTTATAAAATTATATTACATGCTTTTCAGCATGTCACTATAATGAACATTTATCACTTCTAAAGTTAGGTGAGAACTCCTCAATTGCACAAGTAAGTGGATTTTGAAATGTTGAAATATCTGCACCAAGTTCCAAAATATGCTGCTAGAAATATAGCTTGAACTCAGAAAAGTCACCAGCTACAAATTTTGTAAGAATAGTGATCTTGCTTTGTGTTTAAATGTTGGATTGCACAGGAAGTATATAGAACAACCTGATGTTTCCTTGGATTCAAATAACATTAGTTGTCATCTATAATAAATGACTTTACTGCAGTGTAAGTTCTGCATATAAGCACTAAATTAGCTCGTAATTTTAGATTGAATTCAATAGGAAAATTATCAAGTCTTTAGCACAAGCTAATATTCAAAACTTTGAGAATTCAATTTTCAATAACAACAATTGAGGGAAATTTTGATTATTTAGAAAGATTTCAATCTGGGATCTGAACTAAAAATAATCAATCAAACCAAAACAAAAGCAAAAACAAAAAAACACCAATAAAACTTTCCACTTCTAAATCACCAAAGTTTTATGTGATAGGGCAAGTCAAGACTTTCAGTTTCAATTTCTAATTTAAAAAAATCATGTAATAGATGATGGTAAAGTCCACAAGAGCAAATGAAGGTCATTGGTGACATGATTGATTCAATAACATATGGTTAGATTCAAATATTTTTCACAAAGTACCCAATGATGAATAATATAATGAATAACCATAGGATTAAGACACTTAACATTTTCATATGCTTTGTAAATGTATTCACCTAAGCCTCTTTCAGAGTCACACATATTTTTAATACCATCATTTGTTACACATCTTAAAAGATTCAACTTCAGTTTATACTGGATTAGTGTTGTCTTAACTTCCTCAAAAATATTCTTATCTGTAGTTGACCCACTCAGGCCACTCATAGAGAGTAAGTCTTCAGTCGCTTAAAACTAGGCACTGACTCTTCAAATAAACAATAGCTGAGCACTTTTTGATCACACCTGCTGACTCATCAAAAGGGGAAAGCACATGAAATTATGTGAGTTGTTTTTTTAATCAACTAATGATGTAGCTCTCAATGTCTCAGCTCTTCAAGCAAATATTCTCACTGAAAAACTAATTGTTACAACACGTTTATTTTCACTGGACATATTTCTTCAGTACTTAAATGAAGCATTACTTAATTAATTCATCATTGGTAAATGGCTTTGCTTACTTGGCTAACAAATTAACCACCCAGAAACTTATTTTGGAAGCATTCTCATTTACATATTCTATTTTTCTAAAGAAAGTCTGCTGTAATGAGGTATTTCATTTTAAGTCCTCTAAGTTTTCTGACTAGCACTGTTCTCTGAGCTGGTAATATTGAATGCCATGTGTATTTGGTAATGTAAGCATATATTGCATTATTTTAGCACAGGCGGGGTGTCACTGCAAAATAAACACAATGCTTTACCATCTGATTCAATAACGAAATAATCCATACTCCACTGTGACTTAGAAGTATGACATTCAAAATCCATTTTCTTTTCTTGTTTTGACTTAATAAGCATGGACTAATATTAAAAAGTAAATAAAATGATCATGGGCCGCAGTATGTGTGGCACTCAAAGTGCTGTTGAGTTATAACTGTGTCAACTATGATCTGTACTGCAACAAGTAGCAGTGGGAAGTAATGAGAATACTATACATGGTCTCTGTCACAACTGCTTAACTGTGCCATTGTAGCAGATTATCTGTGGACCACAGGCAAATGAATGAGCATGGCTGTGTTTCAATAAAAAGTGTGTAGCCCGCCTGGGGTGGCTCAGTGGTTGAGGGTCAACCTATCAACCAGAAGGTCATGGTTCGATCCCTGATCAGAGCATATGCCCCGGGTTGCAAGCTCAATCCCCAATGTGGAACATGCAGGACGCAGCTGATCAATGATTCTCTCTTATCATTGATGTTTCTAACTCTCTTCCTCTCCCGCTCTGAAATCAATAAAAATACATATTTTTTAAAAGTGTGTATACATTTTTGGGTCAGTGTGTGTGTGTGTGTGTGTGTGTGTGTGTGTGTGTATCCCATATATAATTGATAGATACTTAATAAAAGCACAGTAAAATGTTCAGTAGCACATAATTAGATGGGCAAATGCAATAACTTTGTCACTTACTCTCATATCACTAGATTTTCATCAAGCCTGAAAAAGGGCAGGCAGCAAAACTGTATAATCCTGTTTTGGATAAAGATACTAGTTGGATAATAATCTCAGAATCTCTTATATTTATTTGAGAAAACTCTATGATACATACACTAAACAAAAACCAAGAACATAAATTATTAAATTTATGAGTAAGTTTCTGATAATGAAAATAATTTGTATGTTACACTGAAGAACCTAAGAAGAAAAAAAATTTTAAAGGTGTCAGCTAGTTAGTCTATTGTAAAAAGGCTAGTTTTCCCCAATAATTCTATAAAATTTGAGGAATATAAGTTCATTAGAAATGGATTGACATTCAAGTATTAGTCATTTGTCATTTTGGGTCATGAAGCCCTCTAAAAATTTACAGGAACTTCCCCCAAGAAAGTAACACACACACCTCTACAATTTTAGTGGGCTTATGGCAGAGATTTTCAATCCTGTGTGCACATTAAAATCACGTGGAAAGCTTACCAAAAATTCCAGTGCCTGATCTTTCCCTCAGTAAATATGATTTAGTTGTTTTGGGTTGGGTCCCCGGTATCAGCATTTTCTAAAGCTCCCTAAGAAATCATAATATGAAGCCAGACATAAGATCCATTGAAATTTCTCCATAAAATAGTCTTCATTCACTCACTCACTCAACAAAGATATCAATTAATCATTCACAGCATCTGACATCTAGCCAAGTATTGTGAAGAGTCCAAGAGAAATGTGGTCCAATTTTCTCTGTTTCATAGTCACTACTTATCAGCAGTCTGGGAGACTGCCAGTATGACTCCTATTTATAGAAAAATTCCCCAGTAGTCACAAATATTAATGATCCTCACTTCCAAACTAACATAACCTTTCACAATGGACAGGTGGTCACTGACCTCTTAAACAAACATAAAGGAATGCAAAACAAAAAGGGAAATGTTTCTGAAGATTTTCCTTAATACTATTTGATATTAACACATTAGAGCTCTTAAATGAGCTAAGAAAAAATGTAGGATACAGGTAAGCACATTCAATGAAATATTAGCATTTTCTAATAGAGCTTTTGAGAGACTTCTCTAAAACTATTTAGTCCCACCCTGTATTAGTTTAACTTTAAAGCACTGTCATGTTAAAAAGATAGGTTTTCCTCTTGCATTACATGGAATTAATGGAATTCCATTTGATTATCTTGACAGTGCCAACAGACACATTAAATAACTCATTCTCGAAATAAAATTCTCAAGAAAAACCTAATCTTAAACTTATATCCTAAATTTAGAAACTATTCAGTGAAATGTAGCTAATTTTTTGCCTCAGTAAATATGTCCTCTATTACATTATCAAAGATGTAGTCTTGAATTTATTATATTTTTGTTCATTGCTTCATCATCATAATTAAGAAATAATGATTTATAAGAATAACTAGTTTTGCTGTCCTTATACACTGAAAAGCAATAAACCAAATTCTTCTTTGGCTATAAAAATCTTTTATTTTACATAAACTTATAACAGGTAGCTATTTTTAATCTTACCACATTACACTCCAATATCTATCTGCTCATTCTTTCTTGGTGATTATTAAAGTAAATTGATCCATCCTATATAATAAAACCCTAATATGCAAATCAACTGAATGGCTAAACAACCAGTAGCTATGATGTGCACTGACCACCAGGGGGCAGATACTCAATGCAGGAGCTGCTCCCTAGTGGTCAGTGTGCTCCCACAGGGCTCAAGGCTGGCAAGGGCAGCGGTGGTGGTGGGAGCCTCTCCAGTCCCCGGGCCTAAGCTTTTAGTCGGACATCCCCCGAGGGCTCCTGGACTACGAGAGGACACCAGATGGGCTGAGGAACCAACCTCCCCCCAGTGCACAAATCTCGTGCACCAGTCCTCTAGTTTTAGTATAAAATCCTTGAAAGAATTAACCCTTGGAAACTTAAATATATAGTAAATATATGTTTAATACATCTTTATTGTTGAAAGTATTATAGGTGTCCCATTTTTTTCCACCATTGACCCCATGCACCTCATGCTTACCACTACCACCCCAGGTCTACCACATTATTGTACTAGAATATGTCCACAGTAAATATATTTTTGATGAATAAATTATTTGGGAGCAATGTAATAGTTAAACACACACACACACACACACACACACACACACACGAGTAATTTATATCATATTCCTTCACCACACAGCACAGGAATTAAGAAATGGAATTTGTCACTACCATCATTCAACTCTATTGTTTAGAGCAGAATTATTCAACCTTGATACCTTTGACATTTTCACCAGATAATTCTTTGCTGTAGGAGGCAGTTCTACAACTGAAGGATTTTCAGCAGCATTCATGGTTTCTACCTACTAGATAGATACCACTAACACTTTCCCACCTAATTTAAAAAAAAAAAAAATGTCTCCAGATATTTATTGTCAAATTTCTCTTCGGGATAAAACCACCCAGGGTGAGAATCACTGGTTTACTGATAACTGACATTGTAACAGTATATCTAAAACCACAGTTAGTTTTCTGCCAGAAACTATTACGAAGGGCTTCAAATCTTGGGACACATCTTCAAGAATCCCAAGATAGCTGCCAGGAAAAACCTTCTAACGCAGGTACTCCCATGCCTCCATTCCTCTCAGCAACAGTCAGTCCACCATAATTACTAAGCCTTCATCTTATTCAAGTGACAAGCATTGTTAGTTTCTTCAATCCAATTCAGTTACTTACCTACAACACTGTTACTGAACACAGAGATTGTTTAAGTGCATTAGATGGAGACTTTTGGCTGACTCTTTTGAGATAAACTTCCAACCGGTCATATGATATAACATGCCCAATATTAAAAAGCAAATAAGTACATAATCATTTCTAGTTGAGTTTCTGGCACAGAAACAAGTACATATAGGGCTTATTAATAGATATGTTTCTTTGTGTTGCTCCTGATAAAATCAAGAGATAGGTTAAATATATGAGTAGAATCGCTTAATTATACTTTCTGAATTCAAAAATGTACTATTAACAGGCTTTAACATTTGGAAAGGACTAAAAAAACACATTAAGATTTCTCAAAAATCCTTAAAATTTTATGAAATAGCAACAACAAAGTGAAGAAAGAACTCTTTTACTAGCCTATAATAGAAGACATCCCTGATTAAAGAAAACTCAATTAAAAGTTAAAGTTTTGTACTAAATGCTGCTGACATCTACAAGTCTCTTATCACAAAACACTCATGTAAGTCTTCATTTCCAAAATGGTTCTGCCAGTAAGTTCTGAGAAGGAAATGGGTTTAAAAAAAAAAAAAAAAAAAGAACTTTGAAAAGAATAAAGTATTATTCCAATATAAGATATTAGCAATAACTGAATACATTGCACAGAATTTTGATTTTTGGAATTATCAAAATTAATTAGTGAACAATGAATAAAAGTTAATATACTTCACAAAACATTTCATTCTGACCAAACAACAATCAGTTTATTTATTTCTGGTTTTAAAATGTTTTTTATGACTTCAGAGAGGAAGGGAAAAGGAGAGAGACAGAAGAATTAATGATGAGAAAGTATCATTGATCAGCTGCCTGCTACAAACCCCTCACTGGGGATTGGGCCCACACCTCAGGCATGTGCCCTGCCTGGAAATTGAACAGTGACATTCTGGTTGACAGGTTGACGCTCATCCACTGAGCAACAATGGCCAGATGGTTTATTTTTAATTTACTTTTCATTACTTGCAAAAAATAAAAATAAAAATTGGAATTTTAAAACTCAGAATGTACAACTATAAATAAAAATAGTAATATTTAAAGCGTTCAGCTTTTGCAAATACTTACTTTACTTGCAAACTTTCGGCTGTTAAATTATTCCACATAATCTCATTTGCCTGAAGATTTTCATTTTCTTCTAATAAGGAAGTATCAAACTCAACTTCTTCCTCTTTAGCAGCTAATGTTCTAAAAAAGCATGCCAAACAATTTTGATTAATATGAATACCCTATCATGATATATCTTAGTACACACCAAAGGCAGAATATATTTTCTCATCAAAAACTATATTCACAAAGTAAACATCAATAAAATAAATCATATTAAACCCCAGGCAGCAAAGATCTAGTCATGTAGTTTCAGCCTTAATTTCCTCATTTATAGAATGTGGATATTAAGTGGTTTTATTCCTGTCATAATGGTAATGAATAAAAAATAAGATGATGAATGTTTGTAGAAGTAATTGATACTTATAAAATTTAATATAAAGTCATAGTACTATTACTATAGAAATGTTAAAAAGACATTTTCATGGATGGATTAAATACAGGCTTGAGAAATGATATAATGACAACCCTAACATTTTTAAAGATCACTATATAGGAGAAAAGACTTTGAAAATAATTAAAAGGAGACAAATTAATTTGAAATATCTAATGTCCAAACAAGCTCATCAGTATCTCTTATTTCAATTTAGTTAAATATTATATGATATAAAAAGTAATACTGCCATCAACACTCAAAGAAGAATGAAAATATCATACATACCTGTGAACATCTATAAAATCATTGTATTCTGTGCTAGGGTCTATTTGCTCAACTGACATTTGAATCTCTTTATGGACATTCACTATTTCCTCCGTAACAAGACTAGTTATCTGGCTGTATTCATCAAATATGCCTTTTCTGAAAACAAAAATAAAATTTTACAACATTTTAAAGTTTATCAAGAAAACATAGAACCAGAAAGGATTCAGAATAACAAACATAAGAAATGTAATATCAATATTTACAGATGGTAGTTTTATGTACCTTTTCCAACCTGTATTTGAGGAGTCTAAATGTAAGGTAGTGTTGATTGCTTTCTGTTTCTTAACATTATCATAGAAATGTTGGATTCCGTAACATGGAGCTGTGGGTCCACAGTAGTCTCTTTAATGTTTCTTTCTAATATCTGCAATTTCCTCATATGCCCAACCACTTGGGTCTCCTCTTACTCCTGGGCCTCTGCTCTCCTAACTTCAATGACATCTAGATTTCTCCTCCTGGCCTCCACTAAGTTGCAAAAATGTCATAAAATATTTTAGTATTACCTAATAAATGCAAAAGAAAAACCTATTCTGTTGCAAAGACCTGGTCCCAACTTAAGAATGCTATACCATTGGTCATTACTGGCCTCAGCAACAAGTATGGGCAGATAAGTTTATCCTGCATATTCCCAAATAAATATAAGGTATTCTCTGCTTTTCTTTTCCAAAATCATTACCAAATTTATCTTATTATGAAGTATTTTCTCAGTTATTTTATTTTAAATAGCAAAATAATGTTTGGGCAAAGAAAATTAGACTTAAAATGCTCCAAGCAATGCTAGTTTGGAATGATTACAAAAATCACCTGATAGACACATTTTTTTAAAAGGGGGAGAGACAGCCGAAACCAGTTAGGCTTAGTGGATAGAGTGTCAGCCTGTGAACTGAAAGGTTCCAGGTTCGATTCCGGTCAAGGACATATACCTTGGTTGCGGGCACATCTCCAGTAGGGGGTGTGCAAGAGGCAGCTGATCGATGATCTCTCTCATTGATGTTTCTAACTCTCTATCCCTCTCTCTTCCTCTCTGTAAAAAATCAATAAAATATATTTTTAAATAAAAAAATAAAAGGGGGAGACAGAGAAATTTAATAATAATTTAGTAAGTATCCCTGAGGATATGAACTAGTAATAGTTCAAAGTACTGAATGATACAAATATAAATAAGCCTAAATAGATACCTTATAAAGCAATACAGTAAGTCGTTATGATGTGGAGATCATTAATATTCACCTTTAAGACAAATGGGGGTGGAGGGCATGAAGTCTCCTAGCATTATATGAATGAGTACTTGGGACATGGATTTCAATTTCAGTGATAGCATGATGGTTGGATTTTTTAAACGTTAGGTCTGAAACAATTTCTTAGTAGTAAATACACTGTGAGAAACCATCATATGTCTTTAAAAGATGTCCTGGTGATTATGAAAATAATATTATTGGAGATTCATGTGAAGAGTCTGAAAACTATTAATTCATTAAATTGAGAGTAGGAAAATAAATATTTCTGAATAAACACTATGTAATTTAAAGTAGATGTAACTAAAAGTATTTATTAAATGTTATAAGTAGAAATTTCATTATTTTTAATAACAACCTTATAAATATACATATTTAAGTTGAATAAAAACACTTTATCTTCTTGGGAAAATAAGGGATCACCTAACCCAGCTAATACAGAAGATGAAGTCTACCAAAGGGTGGCTTACATTTTTCTATTGTCTTAAATCGATATGTACGGTAAACGTGTGCATTTAGCCAACATCCACTGTTAGCTCCCTAAAGGCAAACATTGTGGCCTACACATCTTTATATTTAATGTGCTTTGCAGACAGTAGAAGTCTAATAAATATTTGTTGATTTTAATCTTATACAATAAAAATATAGCAAATAAACCTTCAAAAAATCTTTTCTTCAGGTTTTTCTGTTGCTCAAATTTTAAATCCACAACCCTGTGAAGACACATTTCCACTTCTTAATACTTGTCAACTATTGAATTTTTTTCATATAAATTTCCTTTTAATTGGAGCAAAACAAAAACATTAAAAAAAAAAAAAAAAGGGAAATTCTTGGGGTTGGCTAGAAGATTTAAAAGAGAAGCATAATCTACAGGAATACCTGAAGTGAAAATCAAGAAGAATTTGAGGTAAAACAAGTATGAAACACCCACGGGTCTGGGTCAATAAGGAAGCTCACAAAACATGAGGAAACTTTTACACAAAAGCTTAAATAGGAGAGCAACTAATGTTAAAATCATTGTATGACAGGATGTTATGTCAAATATAAAATGTAACTTACAGTGCCTTTATCATTTCTTCTTGCATCATCTGTAAGGAGTCGAGAAGCAGAGGAAGGGTGGTGTCATAATACTGATTCTGATGAAGCTGAGCCCCTTTCAATGCCAATACATATTGATTATGCAACATATGAAGTTTCATTGTGGCTTTGTCGTAACGATCCTTGGCCTTTTCCGGTTCTTTCCCTGAAGAAATCATTGAAGATAGTTATAAGAGAGATAATAAAAAAGTTTTATCTTCTCTGTGTGCACACAGAGCCACCACTATGTTAGGTTATTTCACTCATTTTATGGCGAATCAAAAGTTTGTTGAACAAACACTATGTTCTTAGCTCTATGCAAAGTACTATTTATTTGCCAATATTTTGTACAGAGGCCGCTCTGAAGGAGGCAGGCACTGCAGTAACTGGTGAATGAAGGCTAATGTTCAATTTATTTGTAAAACTGTACAGATATATGAACCTTCTCATGTTCAAGCAGCAGCTTACACTAAATTGGAACAACAGCGCATATATATCACCAAGAAAATAAGGAATTTTGTAAATGTTAAATTTTGAGGTCTATGTTTAAGATATCAATAAAGACAAGGAAAGCTAGGGGACACTTTGTGGAGAAAACAGACCTTAAAAGATGAGACAAATCTAGAAAGGTAAACAATGGGGGTGGGGATGGGGGGCATATCTAGGGAGGGGTGTGGGATGGGAATGGGGGAATAAGGACAATTATGTGAGACCATAATCAATAATATATATATATATATATATGTAAAATTAAAAGGCAGACTTAAGACTGGAAAATTGCAGAAAATTTAACAAAGATTATATTTTTATGAGTTTATATAAAAGTCAATAAAACACTGAAAGTTTACATTGAAAAAAGAAAAAGAAAGACAGAATAAGCAATAGTTTCTCCCTTTCTTCTTCCTTCCTTCCTTTCTTCAAGGAAAGAAGGGAGGGAGGGAGACAGGAAGGAAGAAGGGAGGGAGGAAGGAAAAGAAGGAAGCCTTAAATGTACTATTAACAGGCTTTAACATTTTAAGGAGTTTTGAGAAATCTTTTTTTATTTTTTAAAATATATCTTTATTGTTCAGACTATTACAACTGTTCCTCTTTTTTCCGCCCATAGCTCCCCTCCACCCTGTTCCCACCCTACCCTCTGCTCTTACCCCACCCCATCCCTCATCCATAAGTGTATGATTTTTGTCCAGGCTCTTCCCACACTCCCTACACCATTTCCCCCCCAAAAAAATTGTCAGTCCACTCCCTTTCTATGCCCCTAATTCTATTATATTCACTGTTATATTTAATGTGCTTTGTTTATTCTATTCATCAGATTTTTTACTCACTTGATTTTTAGATTCATTTGTTGACAGATATGTACTTATTGTTCATAATTTTTTTAATATATTTTATTGATTTTTTACAGAGAGGAAGAGAGAGGGATAGAGAGCTAGAAACATTGATGAGAGAATCATCGATCAGCTGCCTCTTGCACACCCCCCACTGGGGATGTACCTGCAATCAAGGTACATGCCCCTGACCTGAATCGAACTTGGGACCTTTCAGTCCGCAGGCTGACGCTCTATCCACTGAGCCAAACCGGTCTCTCGGCTGTTGTTCATAATTTTTATCTTTACCTTTTTATTCTTCTTGCTCTTCTTAAAGAATACCTTTTAGTATTTCATATAATACTGGTTTGGTGGTGGTGAACTCCTTTAGCTTTTTCTTATCTGTGAAGCTCTTTATCTGACCTTCAATTCTGAATGATAGCTTTGCTGGGTAGAGTAATCTTGGTTGTAGGTTCTTGCTATTCATCACTTTGAATATTTTTTTTTTCCACTAGTCTGGCTGATTTTTCCATACGACTGTCAGCTGATTTTTCAATAGTTTCTGTTGAAAAATCAGCTGACAGTCATATGGGTGCTTCCTTCTAGGTAACTGTTTTTCTCTTGCTGCTTTTAAGATTCTCTCTTTGTCTTTTGCTCTTGACATTTTAATTATGATTTGTCTTAGTGTGGTCCTCTTTGGATTCCTTTTGTTTGGGTTCTGTGCACTACCTGGACTTGTAAGTCTATTACTTTCACCAGGAGGGGTAAGTTTTCTGTCATTATTTCTTCAAATAAGTTTTCAGTATCTTGCTCTTTCTGGCACCCCCATAATTCGGATGGTGGTATGTTTGAAGTTGTCCCAGAGGCTTCTTACACTATCTTTATATTTTTGGATTCTTTTTTCTTTTCCAGTTGGGTGTTTTTTTGTTTCTTTGTATTTTAAATCTTTGACTTGAGTCTTGTGACCCTCTAGTCTGTTGCTGGATCTCTGTATATTATTTTTTATTTCAGTCAGTGTATGCTTAATTTCTAATTGGTCCTTTCTCATATCCTTGAGGGTCTTGCTAAATTTATTGGCCTTTTCTAGAAAATTCTTGAAAAACCTTATAACCGTGGTTTTGAACTCTATATCCAGTCTTTTGCTTTCCTCCATTTCTTTCGTTTCTAACCTGTTTCTTTGTCTCCGCATTTTGGCTGCTTCCCTGAGTTGAGAGAGTGGCTTTGTGTGCTAGGTGTCCTATAGGGCACAGGTGGTTCAGCCTCCCCAGTTACTTGAAATGGACATTCTTGGTGCACCCCTTTGTGGGCCGTGTGCAGTCTTGTTGTAGTTAAGCCTTGATTGTTGTTAGTATCCCTGGAAGGATTTGACCTCCAGGTCAATTGGCTGTGAGGATCAGCTGTGTCTACACTGAGAGAACTTCTGTACTCAACTTGGATGGGGTGAAGTCTCAGGATGGAGCAAACAGCAGTGGCTTCCATTCAGCCCTGTCCTAAGAGGCCCCTGGGTCTCAATGTTCCTTGGTAATCGCTACAAGCACCTCTGAGAGAAAGCCGCCCTAGAGTTTTGTCCACTGCTAGACAGTCCAATTTTTCCCCTCTGGGTCCCCAGAATCTCACCCAGAACTGGAGTTTGGAGCGGTCAAGAGCTTTTGTCTCCCTCCCAATTGAGAAAGCCAGCTGCGTACTCAGTTGCCAGCCCTCTCCGCACGCATGTGCCTCTGTACCTCTGCACTTCTGCAGCTCCTCTGAATCTCAGTGTGCTTTCCTCTTTCCTTCTAGTTGTAGAATTTCCACTCAGCCATCCATCCTGTGGTTCTGGATGGTGTTCATTTTTTTCTTTTAGTTGTAGTTTTGAAATTGTTTACAAGGCAGCAATTTAGGTGTTTACCTATGCCGCCATCTTTGTTTCTCTCCTTGAGAAATCTTAATGTGTTTTTTAGTTCCTTTCTTCCTTTTTTTCTTCCTTTCCTCTCTCCCTCCCACTCCCTCCCTTTTTAAATTTAAATTCTTCATTGTTGAAAGTATTATATATGTCTCCTTTTTCATCTCCCTGGCTGCTCCCATCCCCAGCACATGCCCTCACTCTCCTACTGTCTCTCTTCCTTCCTTTCATTCTGATTATCACCAAGAATTATGCTAAACACTAGGAACTCAGTATTCAGCAAAGCAGAGTCTTGACATATTAACTGAGACAAAAAAAATTCTTTCTGAATGAACATTACACAGATTTTAAAATCCTATATAATAGTTAATATGTTAATTAGACCAAAAAGCAGAACGACCATCCTACTGGGGATGTGCCTGCAACCAAGGTACATGCCCTTGACCGGAATCGAACCTGGGACCTTTCAGTCCACAGACCGATGCTATACCACTGAGCCAAACCAGTTTTGGCTATTTGTACAGATTTTTAAACTGCATAGTTCCCATCTGTCTTTCTAGCTGGTGCAGAATTCTCTAAATATGCAATACTCACCTCCCTAAGATTTTATAATCCAAAATAACATTAGAAAAGTTAACAAGTTGCTAGATACTTTTTTCCTTATCAGTTTTAGTGTATGACAAATAAGCTAAAGAAAACTATTATAGTCAAATCTAATTATCATGATTATTAACACAATTTGAAAAAAAAAATTTAAAGCCTTTGAAAACATTCAAAGCAGATTCCAGTACATTAAACTAATGGTAATAAATTATTTTGAAAACTTTGGACTTAAAACTAAATATTTTGGGGGGGATATGTTTTCATAGAGATTTGGGGAGGAGTTGCTGTTTTTTGTAGTCTACAGCTCACATATACTTGTGCATTGGTTATAATGTGTAATTGACACAGTCACATGATTGATTGATTATTCTGTCTATTTTACCCTGCACTCTCCCTCCCTTGTAGAAAAATGAAAAGTTTGGTACAATTTGGGGGGAAAAAATTCTATTATATTTTTTTCCTGACTTTTTTTTTTTTTTTAACATATTTTATTGATTTTTTTAGAGGGAGAGAGGGATAGAGAGCTAGAAACATCAATGAGAGAGAAACATCAACCAGCTGCCTCTTGCACACCCTCTACCGGGGATGTGCCCGCAACCAATGTACATGCCCTTGACCAGAATCAAAACTGGGACCTTTCAGTCCGCAGACCTATGCTCTATCCACTGAGCCAAACCGGTTTCGGCTTTCCTGACTTTTTTTAAATAAATATTTAGGGTCCCAATGAGACTATGTAAATAAATTCAGGAAATAATAATACTGTGTCAAATTCAAAATTACAGGTAAAATTTTAAGAATTCTATTCATCTAATAAAATATATCACACAAAAAAATCTAGTGATTCTTACCACATAAGCTTGTTGGCTCAGAATATCTCAGATCACTATTATACTTGCTTAGCTTTTAAATAACTACATTAGAGCTGAAAATTAATACAAAGTATACAAAGTGAATAAATTCTCATTGACAGATATAGAACTGTACCTCTGTTGCTGTATACTTTGCTTTGTTTTAATGAAAGGCAATGAGCAGGGCATAAAATTATTCTGTGTCAATCAGCAGGAGTAAACCATCCCATTTTTTCTCTTCTACATAAATTATAATTCTTTTGCTACCACTTGTTGACAAATATGTTTAATGTTTGTAACAGAGTGTGCATACATGTCATGCCATAAACAGTATTATGAAGATAACAAAGCTCAACTATGTAAGCTTGACCTTCACAAGAGACAGTCTATTGACTTTCACGTTTTTTGTGCTTTCTATTCATTATTTTGCTGTTTAAAATGGTCCCTAAACATAGTGCTGAAGTGCTGTTTAGTATTCTTATAAGGTGTGTATGACGTGACTTACAGAAAAAATAGATGTGTTAGA